CAACAAGGAGAGTGTTTTATGTACCAAGCATCTTATCTGTCTCTCTTAACGACTTCCCTCGGTGGGTTGTTAGTATCTGACAGCAGGTCTCTATGCGGGGAACTTTCTTCAAATTCTACATTCAAAGGAGGTTCATCAGAGAACATGATTGGCAATTTTCTTCATAATCTGCACATTATTAGCATTCGAATTGACATGGCAATAATATTGCTAGTTTGTGATGTGCCTTTCAAAGTTCAAGGAAATCCCTACAGGAGCCAATGTTTGGAAGGAAAGCAAATCTATTCTATCCAGTATTTTTTTTTTTTTTTAGGTATTTTCGGGAACATACCTTGTGTTGTGAGAATAAGTAATTAATCATAGTGCCAAGGTAAACTTTGAACACAAATGATTCTCCAATTTAATGAATGCCCTATTTCCTCATTCAAGTATTATCCAGATACAAAGATATTATTCATCAAGTAAAAAAAAGCTTTAAGATGAGATGGACTAGATAGAGTCACCGAGCAGACATGAAAAGGTCCCATAATGAACCAAAAAGAGAAAATAAAATGATAAACTTTCAACAGTAAAAAATTACACACAAAAAAAAAAACAGAAATTGCCACACAAAAAAAATAACAAATTATTAAAAACAAAAATGATAAAGTTGACACATAATTTATACCATACCGAATTAAACGAATATAAATAAAGCGAATTAAACGAAAATAAGGCAGAGGATGCAGGTTCTCTCACTGGTACCACGGAATGTCAGAGGTGAAAGTGTTATCGAGTCCCTGTCCCTTTGATACAAAGTTGCTTCCCGTTGCTAGGAGGGGGCTGATGTTTATTATGGATGTAGAAATAAAATATTTACTTTTACAAGCATACACTGACTGTGGTTTGTGGGTGTCAGGTCAGACAGAGTCCAGTTTTAGGGTGCATGTGTCTGGTGAGAGGGGTTCCCTCGTTCTCGTCCGGGTAAGTTTAGTTTTGGGGTGCAGTTATCTGGTTAGAGGGTTCCCCTTTCTCCTCCCTGAGGGGAGTCCACTTTTGGGGTGCAGTTGTCTGAGCAGAGGGGTCCCCTCTCTCTGGTCCGAGGAGTCCAGTTTTGAGGTGCAGTTCTCTGGTTGGAGGGGTCCCCTTACTCCTCCCTGGGGTGTGTTCAGTTTTGGGGTGCAGTTATCTCGTAAGAGGAGTCCCCTCTCTCTTCCCTGGGGGGAGTCACCGTTGTGGGGTGCAGTTATCTGTTTAGAGGGGTCCAGTTTTGGGGTGCAGTTATCTATTTAGAGGGGTCCAGTTTTGGGGTGCAGTTAGCTGGTTAGAGGGGTCCAGTTTTGGGGTGCAGATAGCTGGTTAGAGGGGTCCAGTTTTGGGGTGCAGTTAGCTGGTTAGAGGGGTCCAGTTTTGGGGTGCAGTTAGCTGGTAAGAGGGGTCCAGTTTTGGGGTGCAGTTAGCTGGTTAGAGGGGTCCAGTTTTGGGGTGCAGTTATCTGGTCAGGGGGGTCCCCTCTCTCTGGTCCGGGGGGGTGACGGAGGTCTTGCTGAGGACGGCCGCGGAGTAGGGCAGGAAGCTGCTCTCTGATCTCTGGGAGGCCGCGGTACATGTGAACTCGGAGCCCCTGCCGGCAGAGCTCAGCGCGGACGCCGTCTGGTTGCTATGACAACTGAGGCAGGAGCACGGCGTGCTGCCGGGTGCGGAGGCTGCTGCCGCTGCGGCAGCTGCTGCGGCGGCCGCAGCGCTGCTGTTAATCCCGGGGGACTGGTAAAGGCCCGGATGTCTGAAGCTGCAAAGTAGTTCCGGCCGGGAGTAGGGGTGTGAGAGGGCGCGGAAGGTGTCCAGAGGTCGGATGGAGGTGGCGAAGGGAGACGCTGCGGCCGCCGCTGCCCCAGAAGCCGCCGCGGCCGCCGCTGCCGCCGTCACCCCCACGTGGGGATAGTAGTGCAGAGGGACGTGTGAGTGGAAGGGGTAAGGAAGGCTCCCGGTGGCCGCAGCGTGGGTCATCATGTAGGTGTAGAAACTGGGGTCCGCCGGGTGAGGCCAGGACATGGCTAAACGTTGTCTTTTATCCTTCATCCTGCGGTTCTGGAACCACACCTGGAGCCCGGAATAATAATAAAAAAATAATAATAATTAGTGAAAAGTAATAAAATAATCATCATTATTGCATGGGCAGAGCACTATAATAAACAATAATAAAATAATAATAATAAAATAATAATCATTAATACATGGGCAGAGCACTATAATAAACAATAAAATAATAATAATAATAAAATAATAATCATTACTGCATGGGCAGAGTACTATAATAAACAATAATACAATAATAATAATAAAATGTGAAATAATAAAAATACATACTAAAACAACATGCTCACAGCTCCACTACACAGATTGTATATATATTTATAGTAAAACAAGGTAAAGGCTCATATTTACAGATAATATATGCGCTTATTAAAAAAAAAAAAAACAACAACAACAACTCATGGCTTAATTAAACCGGTACAAATATTATACTAACTTTATTTATTTATTTATTTATTTATTATAATTACTCAATTGAACAGAATCCGACGTGGATTTCTAGCAGGCTATCCCGAGCTGGTTTTTATTTTCCATTAATTTAACATTTTTATATATACTGGCCAAAGCAACGTGTGAAAAGGAAGTGCATCAGCTTCTGCAAAACCACACCAGGAGCAATATCTCAGCCCTGTCACTACACCCAGTCACTTGTTATCTTATCACCAGGAAAAATATTTTATTTTTGTATACATATAATATTATAAAATATGTTTCCTGGTGATTAGATAGATTGATAGATATTGAACCCCAGTATCTTTTAGCTGTTTTTTTTAATAATTGTAAATCTAATTGAATATAAAACATTACTGCGTTTTCGATTGCATCATTATGATTTCTTCAGATTTTTTTCAAAACACATCCTGCTACATTTATAAAGATAATAATAGAAGCATTCTGACAGCACTGATATTTCAGATCAAATAATTTCAACAGCACAGATATTTCAGCAAAAGGTAATACAACTGGGGAATATTGAGAATAACATTTTATTGTTTTTTTTTTTTTAATAAATAAAAATGTGATTTTATAATACGTCATCAAACAGCGCTTCTAGAATAAATGTGAATATCTTAGCACTTGTTAGTAGTATTTTGACGTTATTTTTTAACATCGGTTTATGGAAGTATAACATAAAATCAGTGAATGCAAAATAAGTATTTTTTGTTTGTTTGTTTTTTATTTTGTTTTTATTTTACAAAGCGATTTAAATTGTAGTAACTGAAATATACTTAAACCAATAAGTGCAGCCTCATATTTAATAAGTAGCCGAGTTCGTGAATATTATTTAATAGGTTATATATTTGAGAATATTAAGGGGTTTATTTACTAAACAGTGAACAGACTCGAGTACACAAATCACTTGCAAAATTTAGGCCTTAATAAGCATGTTTGGGGAAACAAAAACACTAAAATCCTCCTATTTTGGCCTAAATTGTGCAGGTTGTCAGCTCGCTGCAATCCGCAGTTTAGTAAATAAACCCAGGTTTCCTGGCAGCCTATCTAAGCCATGCAATGTTTTAAGGCTGAAATTCACAAGGAGTTTTACTTTAAACGTTACACTCTAATTCATCTATGTATCATACTTACGGATTTGAATTTATTAAAAAGATTCGGTAGGGACTGCTTAGCTTACACTAAATGCTGCGATTTGTTTATTTCAATTCACAAAAATCTAAAATAAAATCTTGCATTTCCCTTCGAGATATACAGTATTTTTTGTTTAATTTAATTTTCCAGTAGAACAAATAATTCTGGTCATATAGGATGTGCGATACAAAACAGTTGTTATCCCCAATTCTACAAACTTTGAAAGCTTGCTTTTAAATGACCTGTCCTAGCTTAATGGTGTTTATTTTAATAAAATAAACAGCGATAAAGTATCAGCCATAATACTGGTAATAGTGGAGAAAAACTGTATCAATTGAGACACAGTGTTCAAAGCTGTAATGCTGGACCTTTGTATTGAACCTATATTAAAATGCATTTACTGTTAAATATATATTTTTATTTTTTTATTATTATTTTTTTTTAAACAAGAAGTTTTCAAGCACATGTTAACCATTCCAACCTAATTGGGCAGTAAGCAAACCTCGTATTGTTTTAAATGCACCTCTGCCATCCAAAGGGTTAATTTGACTCATGTTACAGCCTTGTAGCTAACACTCACTAACTTCCAAAATAAATTCAAGCCGCTCAATATTCCATAATGATGGAATTATTCTAACCTTCAGGTGTTTATGTATGGAGACTAATTCAGGGTCAACATTCTAAAAGTAAGCAATCACCTTGGTAACCAATGGAATGTTGCTGATTTGACCATTCTTAGAATCTTGCCCCAGATTATATACCCACCACTCTCTAAGAGTTTTACAGGGTTTATTTTATCGCAGTGTATACATTGAGTGATATCAATATGGAGTTTCCCTAGGGAGAGACAGGCTTGTGGCAGTGTGAGGGCCAGCACAGAACACCCTCCGTACATATTGTCCTACCTTAATGGTTGTCTCTGGGAGGTTTAGGGCGGCAGCCAATTCACATCTCCGGGGACGAGACACGTAGTTCTCTCGGTAGAATTCCTTTTCAAGCCTTGCTATCTGCTCCCGGGTGAATGCAGTCCGGTAACGACGCACCTGGTCAGCAGCAGAGCTCGAACTCCCAACGGGGTTACTACTGCTGTTAAGGCTGTTTAACCCAGATCCAGAGGAGCTGGTCGTACTGGCCACTGATCCACTGTCTGCAAGCACACAAGCAGGGACAAACCTTGTCAGCATGCCACAGAACCCTGTCCATCCTTAGACTGAATATTACTTGGTGTGGGCTCTAAATATTCCCAAAATTCTACTAAAACATGTAATGGTTTAAAACATAAAATAATACTTGTGGAGCAATACTTTATTTTTTTGAGTATTATATACAGTAGTACTAGTACTAAGCCTGGCTGGCTTAGCACTATTACTACTGTATATAATACTCAAAAATGATATAAAGGACCGTTATGTATTTTTATGACTGTTATCTATTGTCTCTGCATGTTTCAGATGCTTGATATTTGTTTTTGTTTTGAATTGAATAACATTTTATCACTCTGAGTGTACACTGCCATTTATGTCTGGGTGCACTGCAAGTTAGGAGGGAGCACAGCCCAACCATTTCAACACTGTGAGTGCAAACTGTGATATCAGATTCCCTAGGTATCACACATTCAAAATACACACGAAAATGTATACCGATACACCAGCGATTGATTCTCCACCAAACATCATTGATTCGAACTGCTGATGCTAAAAATAATCGATACTCCTTTTCTAAATCGCCTAATAATGAAATGACTTCAAGTTAAAGGCTGCATCTTATGCTTAACGTTCTTTTCATGGAATCGTTTGTGTTACATGAAGTTCCAGAATAAATAGATTTCTCTTAAATAGCACATGGTAGATATAATGAACACAATGTATAGTTTTTTGTTTTTTTTTAAGTATATCTCTATAGCAGAGTATAAATAATATGTACTTTTAAAAACGTGTTAATACATATCTCTGTAATGTATATTTTTATTAGAGCTGAACAGTAACTCATAACTACTCTATATGACAATATTTTGCATTTTTATTTTGGTTTAATTCTATATTTTTATTGCATACTATTTATGAGTAGTGTGTGTATATAAATAAAACACATATTTACAAAATATTTTTAAAAAAAACAAAAAAAAAACCTTCGTTTATACATTTGTTCACAATGCACTCAAGCCAGTACTGTTTAAATTATTGGGAATTAGTTTGTCATGCAAATATATGTGTTAGCCACACGTGTATTTTAACTATCTGCTATTTTACGTTTCAAAAAAAATAAAAATTAAAAACAAAAAAAAACAACTTTTAAAAATAAAATACAAATGCAAAGATTACAGTAACCATATTAAAAATAAAAATAAACTCAAATAAAAATGTAAGTTACCTCTGTATGTCAAGAAGGGGTATAGAGAGGGATAGGTACCTTTGTCCTTCAGCTGGGTATCTCTGAGACTTGTTGGGGAGCGCAGGTTTGAACACCCCACCTCCACATCACTGCTCATATCTGAGTCTGGGACCACTTCAGAATACTGACTGGACTTCTTCACCCTTTCTGGCCCAGATATATCAGAAACGCTGTTGCTCTCACTGTTGGGGTGAGGGATGCTAAACAAAGTATCTATTTCAAATTTGCCCTTGGTGGGGATGTCCCCTATGGATCCGTGCAAAGAGGTGGAAGTTAGTCTGGGGCTCAGGCGAGCTGTGTGATGTGAATTGTCCAGGGCCTCCAAAACTGCATTGCCAGCTGAGTCGGATAAATTGGAAATCCTTTTGCCTGTGGTTGGGCTGTGCAACCCTCTTTCCATCAGAATCATCTCTTTTCTTATCCTTTCCATCATGTCAGCTTTGTAAAAAAAAAAAAAAAAAAAAAAGTGAAAGTAGAAAGGCTGGTGTTGTTGTAATGATGATCTCTATGTAGCAGGGACCAATTCGCATTCAGCTTGGCAAAGTCTCTAAATATTATCTTTGCTCCTTCCTCTCTCTCTCTTTCTCCTCTCTCCCTCTGTGTGATCTCTCCAAGCCTTGTGTTAAAATTGAGGGGTACAAATGCAATGGAAGGACTGGTCAAAATGACCCACACTTCCTTCCAAGACAGAAATGTAATTCATCAAAGTAGGGCTCGTCATTAAGGTATGAATGACGCTGTTTGAATAATCATTTATTGTAACAGTTTTAAAAGCAAATTAATACAGGCTCCTGTCATTGGGCTGTGAAGGCGGATTCTGAGCAGACAAATATATCCAGGTACAAGGAGAGACAATGAATGAACTGTGAGGCTCTTCTTCCAAGCTTGATCAGACCTTGCTTCAATTGCTGTGGGGTTTGGCCTCTGGGGTGGAATTGACAGGCTGATTAATAAAATGAGCTCAGCTACATTTCCCCTTCATTTAGGAGAATCATTATGCTCTGATTTTTGTTTTGTTGGCTTTTAGGTCCTAACGATGCCTCCTCTGATTTTCCTTTGACTTGCAGAGACATATATTATTATAACTGATTTTTTTTCCCTGTGTCTATGTATGTGAGTGGTGCTACTAGATAATGCATTGTTAAATAGGACTATTAATAGCCAATTGTAAATAAAACACTCAGATTTTCAGAATATTATTTTGCAATTATTCTACTGTTTATTTAAAAACGGTTGACACAATATTGAAACTTTTATTTACATAATCAAGATAAGATGTGATTGTTTAATAATTATTTCTTCTTTTTCTTTTCTAATGCAGGCAAATCCAGAAAATTATTTGATACATTATTTAATCTAAAATGCTATTACAGATTTATCCAGCTCTGGTTCTAAAATGTATTAAAATCTGTTATTCCTCTCACAATAATTCACACTATATGTCATCAATGTAATGTTTAATGCAAGCAATCATGTATTGCAACAGGTTTTTATACATTTGTTTTCAAATGTACTACAGGTGTAATAGTATATCAGTCATACCAACTGAAATTATTCGGTGTGTGGTGTAATAGTGATAAGTGTTGATTGAATAAATAATAACATAATAAAAGGCAATAGTTCTCTATATTCTTTTATTATAAATTAGTCAAACAAATTAATACATTGTTTTGCATTGATGATATCTTAAAACAAAAATTCCATTAATGTTTTCTTTCTATCTATCTATCTATCTATCTATCTATCTATCTATCTATCTATCCATCCATCCATCCATCCATCCATCTATCTATCTATCTATCTATCCATCTCTCTATCTATCTATCTATCTTCTCCTATTCCATTTTTTCTGTGAGTGCAAATACATTCTCGATAACTGAGAGTGATTTAATACACGTATATGTGATCACCTTAATAACATGGCACATTAAATGATATAATCTTAATAAACCTGTTTATTCTGAAGTTTATTTTTCCCATTCCGTTCTTTACATCATTGAATACCATAAGTGTGCTATTGCATAATTAATTTGTGTTCTCTTACATCGTGTTATATTTTTTCTATTTAAAATTGTCCAGTTTTGGAGATAATAACTATATTAAAATTGCATACATTAAAGGTGGTAATATTTATGTTATCTCTGATCGGTTTTAAAGACATTTACGTATAAATGTGAGCTAAATGAATTGACAATGTCCACGTGCTATCCATTTAGAAAAGCAGACAGCTACTATTATAGCAGTTTCAGTGGTCCGCATGAGTCAAGTTCAATTTACAAAATCTGATGACTTAAAGAAGATACCAACTATCTTATCGCTATCGTATGGCTCCCCCATCTGTCTAACACTAAGCATTGCTACACAAGTGGCAACATATACTGGCAGTGGACTCTGAAAATAACTGATACGTTATATCTTCCGACAGACAAAATAGAACGATAGAACTTTAAAAATTAACTAAAAGAGCCGAGAATGCAGAAAAGCCATTACATATCACAGGACATACTTGAAAACGAGAGAAATCTCAATGTATGTTTCCTGGTAAAATATTTTATAAATAAATAAATCACTTATTGCTTAGCGAGGTCTATTCACTAAGCAACTGTTGTGGTGACTTGTATCTGATTGTTAAGGTTCAATTATAAAGTTGGAAAAAAAGAATAAGGATTTTTGGGGGGCGGTTAATCTATCATGGACTAAAAGAAACAAGCCAATCCCCTACTTCTCACTGTTTAGTGAATAAAACCTTCTGTTTTATGCATAGGCCCTGAAAGATGCACATATGCTGATTGCATTAGGCTGTATAGCCTCATATCAGCAAGCATGACTGTTTTCACAAAATGGTTATGTATTATCTTAAATCAAATATTCCTAAATCTGCTAAGGTTATATTAGTGGGACACTATAGGCACCAAAACAGCTACAGTCTTACTGCTCAATTCTCTGCCATTTAGAAGTTAAATCGCTTTGTTTTTGTAGTCCTTGTCACACATCCCTGCATGTGACTTGCACAAGCTCCACTTCCTGTAAAGAGAGTTCTAATGTTGAAATTTCCTTTATTGCACATACAGTTTATTTTAAAATTTCTTATCTTGTGCCCTGTAATGGCCTTCTAGATTACCTAGGAGCTTCCTTTATGTGAGTAAAGGGCAATTTACAGAGCAGGAGATAAAAATGTCTAAAGCAAGTTAACATCTGGTTGAAAATGAAGCCATTGTTTTTTTCATGCAGGCTGCCTGAGCCAGGAGAGGTATGGCTAGGGCTGCATAAACAGAAACAAAAATGATTTAACTACTAAATGGCAGAGAATTGAGCAGTGAGACTGCAGGGGCATAATCTATATACCCAAACTACTTGTTTAGCTGCCTATAGTATCTCTTTAACCCCCTAAGGACCAAACTTCTGGAATAAAAGGGAATCATGACATGTCACACATGTCATGTGTCCTTAAGGGGTTAAATATTGGATAACAGGGTGGTTAAAACACGAGAGTCTGTGCTAGTCTACTATTTACTGTCTCTATTGCAGGACCATAGAGACAGTAAAATTCATTTTTATTTCCTGTATTTATTTATAATAACAGCTTATGTGAAATAATTTACAAAAAAACTAATAGTATTTGCATTATTTCCAAGTACGTCCTAACCCACATTAAATATATAATTTTCTATTCATCCACGTACACATAATATATAGTGCATATACATTCAATGGAAATAAAAATCAAACCATTGATAAGGATACTGATATTGATACAATTAACTTGTCTTTCAATATATTACATTTAATAATTGTTTTGTAATCTGACGACACATCATAAATACAACTTAGACATCAAAACAACTTCTTTGGCCTTTGGATGGTGGGGGTAGATTTTACATGTTTCCTTTTATTTAATTCCAGAGGATTGATGGATATATCACTTTGCCTAGGTTCTAGAAGATGAAACAACCACCTTATCTTATCAGTCAAGTTTAAAAGTTTAAAAGTTTAAAAACGTTCTGTGACTTTCCTGTTTTAAAGGGCTAAATGTCTAAAAACCTATTTAAACTTTAGAAATCAGTGTATCCTTTTTATCAGTGAAGGTATGTCCAACCACCTATTTGTTCAGTAGTGAGTTACAGGTGTTGAAAGGTTTGGCTGTAAAACATTTATTTTATTGCTGACAATAAAATGGGGGGAAGGGGGGAATTACTTAAATAGCTGTTTGTGAAAATATTCAACATTGTAGGATGCACTTATATAAAAAAAAACATAAAAAACAACAACATAGATTTAGTGTTTCCATGTATAACATATAGTGTGTGTATAGATCTAAAGGTAATGTGAAAAAAAAATTCCAAGATCTGCATGGATGTCCGGATTGTGTCCTTGAGTGCATAAACCTTTGAGTGAAGTCTGTATAATGTTTTGTTTGCACTACAGAAAGCCACAGAGAGGAAATGCTTAAAGAGAACCTAGGCCAAACTAGTGGTTAAATTACCTATTTTTATTATATGCTGTTAAAGACCAACTGTTGAAAGAATTGATTTTCAACTATTTGGTCAAAGTTGTTTTGTGTCCAGTGATTTTGACTTGTTCCATAAGAAATGCTAGTACTAATATACACTGTGTCCATAAATAAAAGTCAGCCAGCTATTTGTTGAGATTTCACTTGAAAACACATGGAGCCATCTAGTGGTGGAACTGTCGCACTACACCACTGATACCAATTTGACAGAAAAAACTGATATTTATGATTTACATTAATTAATATTTCCAGAACGAAATGCAAACTTGTTTAGTGAGATAATAAGAGAGTTAAAGAGTGCAAGTAAGAGGTTTACTGGGTACTAGTTCACATTTTCTACGGAAACTGTGAATGTACACTGAAAATATGAAACCAAATGCATGATAATATAAACAATTCATTTAAAACATCATTCCTTAAATAAACAGTTATGGATATGACATTTAATACTTTAGAGAAAATGTGATCTTTAAAGCAACGTTGGAAGAATTACACAGTACATTTATATGTTGCACTATTGCTCTATACAATTGTCTGAATATAATCTATTTTAAATAAAGGTATAGACATTAAAAGTTTGCAGTTATAATTGACATTATATTTATATATTTATAGTGTTTATAGTTATATTTAAAAGAATAGGAAGTAAAACTGCTTATTTTTATTATTTCATTAATTGTATTGATGAAATTCAAGATATTGAAAATCAAGAGGGTGTACTATTTGACTTTTACCTTCTTCAGATACACACACACACACACACTTTTATGCGTATTCTTAAATTAAGTGTATTCTTAAACACATTAAATGTGAATTCTTTACAGGGGAGTTATCTAGAACCACACTAAAGTAAATTGGACGCAATACTAAGTTTATTCATAGAGAAAAAAGTATGTAGGCAAGTACATTAAACTCAGCCAATATAAGATTTCCAACTAAAATATTTGGCAACATTTTGAAAAGTCTTGTAAACTCTCCACACATCGCCATTTAGTAACTAGAGCCCATACATTGTACATTGTCATTGTAAAAAAAGTTTTACTTTTTTTACTTAAATATATGAAATCATTAACTAACTGAGAAATACTCAACACTGTATTGTCAGCATTTTATTTACACGTTAAACTACATATCAATGAACTTGTAGTGTTCAGTGGAATATATATCAACGTTTTGCATCTAACACACATAACTCACTATACATAGACCCATGAAGCAAATCTTTAGAATGAATTATATAATGGGCAGGGTTTGGTTGTATGTAATTTGTTATAATGTTTATTTGTAACAAATGTTTACTTATAAAAAGTACGATAGGAAAAAAAGATATCTAATACAGTTCTAATGTTTCTTATTGTAACTGTATAAGAAGTGAAAAATAACAGTGATATATAGAAAATAGACAATAGTAAAATATTAATAAAAAATATGTTAATATGTATATAACGATGTTGACAATATTATATATGAAATATATAAAATCGAAGTATTTTGAAGAGTGAATGTTGAATTTGTGTTTCTTAGACTTTGTTATACAATTAATAAATGATAAGGATCTAATTAAAAGTAGCAAAATATAGATTCTATAACCCTTGTATCTAACAGTAAGAGAGTGAGTTTGGGAGAAAATTTGTGAGAAATTTGTTGTTTTTGAACTGATAGTTGTTGTAGAGTTAATTGATACATTTATATATTGTGTGATGAAACTTTTAGATCATCCAAACTGTAAAAAAAAAAAACACATATAGTAAATATGATCTAATGCCATAGTATCTCAACCCACCACAAACACATTGTCAGATAAAAAAAATAACAATTTCTCATGTTTTTTGTTATATTGGTCATATTATTTATATTTATAATTAAATGTGGCAATCTTGCTCTTAGTTGACAATAATGAAATAGTGAATACAAACCCTTAAACTGATTAAAATATAATGACATTTCAATGATAGATACACTGTGAAATAGTACAATATACTCTCATATAACCATGGTACATCATTAAATAATTCTAATGTGATCTAATTTAATAATAAATGCATAGTGAAATATTTTTATTTAATATCATAATAACAGGCATTCGTCGGCAGTTTGCAGTGTTTTAATGAGAAAAAACAAAACAAAAAAACATTTCTCTTAAAATTATTAATTTTTTTTCTTTGATTTTAGTTTTTTTTTATAAAAATAAACGGATTTAGGGAAATATTAACTAAACGGTAAATGGTGCAGTATTGACAACATCCTTGACATATTCAGGCCTACATAACCAAGTTTAGAAAATGAAAGTCTGCAGTTCAGAGATTTTTCATCAATACTCAAATTTAGCTTAATTTATTTGTTAGCTGTTTGAAGAACACATTCTAGTGAGTTCACTTGAGCAGTTGCTATGCACATAGAACCCACGATGTGTTTTGTATAATTAAATATATTCCCAAACTCACATTATTCGTGGAATAAACTTCATTTGATCCTTTTTGTAATAATCTGCTAATGAGTCAATATATCAATATCACTTCCTTGAGGGGTAAGATAGAGATCCAGTATTTAACTTTCGTTTTCTAACTTTATTGCAGTAAACACTATTTGAAATGTACAGTTTATTAATATATACATTGCAAAGACATGGGAGGATGAATGATGTGTTTACATAACTTTTTTTACTGTAGTCTGTATTTTTTCTGCAACCTATGGATAGCACCTTTTATATTTAATTACAGTTAATACTTATAATTCGATGTGATAGCATACAAAATATGAAGAACATATCTCATTCACATAATAGGCGTTTTATTTCCTTTGCACTAATTCTAGTACCTAAATAATTCATATTGGATGTTTTAATTTTTTTTTTTTTAAAGTCATAGAATCATCCACTTCTCTTGTTGCATAAAATGAGAGTTTCTCTTTCACAGGATATTGCAATGGTCTGACTGAGAAAATATACCTCTCCATTCAATACTGAGCAATATGGATTAATCTGAGGAACTGAACAAGGCAGCGCTGATTGGACATAACATTTCACTCAATAAATCTGGAACTTTCATTAAAGCTCTTATCCAGGCTATGAAAAAAACCCTGCAGCAATACGGTTATATGATACAACGTAGTTATAAAGTTATATACAAATTCACAAACAGGTGTGCATACGTGTCTCTGTGTGTGTGTGTGTGTGTGTGTGTATGTGTGTCTGTGTGTGTGTGTGTGTGTGTATGTGTGTGTGTATGTGTGTGTGTTTATATAATATAAATATTAATGCATATGTATATATTATACATACGTATATGGATGGATAACTGAAATGTTTAGGTAGTAAGACAGATAGTTTGCACTTAACACACAACCATATAATTATATTGTACCATATATTTTATGATAGACAGACTGATAAATTATAAGAATTGTGCCATGGTGATAGCCCCTGTTTTAAAACCATGTGGCTCAATCATGGTATTAATCGTATCCATTACTGAACTGACACTATCATACGTTTTATTTCTCAGCTTGCCTACTGCTAAATGGTGTGTGCAATAATTACTGTTCCAGATAGGGAAGTGATTCATTGATTCATATTCCCACAATCCTTTGTTTGCTACTCCAGGTGTGTCTTGGTTGTTGTTTTCTGTTTGTTTCGTTTTTACTTTTTTTTATGTTTTCGGCTGTAAACAAGGTTGTCTGGAGATGAGGTTTGCAGTTACCAGACAACCAGCTGCACAATGTTACATATCTATAGTGTAAATAGGTTGCAGAGCTTAATGAATGACTATGTAACTAGCTCTTCCTGGTGTTTATAGCAGCTTCGGCAAACAAGGTGTTTTGTGGTTTTTCTGCAGGGAGATTGAAGGGATACCAGTAAGGTGCACAACTAACTTTTTTTTTAAATAAACTCTCCTTGATATGGACAAAGGGGAAGGGATAGTGTGTGTGTGGAAACGAAAGAAAGTATTCTAGGTGGGAATTTAGAACCCCTGGGACTGTAAAAGTGGGTTGATTGCTCTCTTAGTTTAAGGCTCTTTTCAGGCCACGTGACTGAGACCCACCAATGGTGGGAGCCCTGGCTACTGCAAACAGATCTGTAAAATGACTCTCCCACCCCCTCCCAACCTGAACTTAGTTTTTATAAACGAATCACAATGATCTAACCTGCCTGAAGGGATAGCAGTTTACACTATGCCCAGCACTGGATTACAGGAGGGATGTGCAAAGCTCTGAACAAACGCAGCCAGTGGGAGATGGAAGGACTGAGAGGTGGAGAGGGCTCTTCCACAAACCAGTGCAGGAATTTCCTCTCTCCCCCCTCTGTGTTTGGCTCTCCATCCAGCCGAGCAGTCTCAGGATTAGCCTACCCTGGGGCTGAGAGGTCCAGCTCTGCACGCTCTGAGGCCACCAAGGAAGGACCCTCATGTCCAGCCTCTACTGGGCCCTCTGCCCCATCCCTGGGCTATGGCTACCACTTTGGGAACGGATATTACAGTTGTCGCATGTCCCATGGTGTGGGTCTGCAGCAGAGCCCCCTTAAATCATCCAGTCACCCCCCTATAGGAGGTTTCCCAGTGGAGAAATACATGGACGTGTCCAGCCTGGCTAGTACAAGTGTCCCCAGCAATGAGGTGCCTTCCAGGGCTAAGGAAGTGTCTTATTTCCAGGGTTACACCAATCCTTACCAGCATGTTCCAGGATACTTAGACATGGTGTCAACGTTTAGCTCTGCGGAGCCTAGACACGAAGCCTACATCTCAATGGAGGGCTACCAATCATGGACTCTGGCTAATGGCTGGAACAGTCAGGTTTATTGTAAGGACCAGTCTCAAGCCCCTCATTTCTGGAAGTCATCTTTCCCAGGTACAGTGTGTGTGTGTTTATGTGTGTTTGTGTGTGTGATGGTAGGGGGAGATGGGGGGGGGGAGGGGGTATACTTGCAAACAAGCCAAGCTAGTAATTAGTGTGCTGTATAGAGACATGCAATATAGAGCATTGCATTCCTACTGTCACAACTAAAAGTTTTTAGAACAATGCTGCTGCCTGGTGTGAACCCCCTCCCCTCCCCCACTCACAACCTGTGTGCCTGAGATATAAATATATTCTAGAAGCAAAAGTAAAACCAGTTTGTAGAAGCACGTTTTATCGTAAGACCTATATAAGGCAGATACTGATCTTTATAATATGAATGATATATCTAAAATACTGAATTATAACCTCACATTCACTCACACACACACTCATTCACATACAGACACGTTATGCATATATTATTGTGCGTAAGAATGCGAGATTTACTAACCGGTGGATCGTTCAAGATATCTTTTTGAAGCAAGAATAAATTTTGCTCTTGGATGTCTGATATGAAAGTTCCCCATGTAGAACCCCTGGCATTAGAGTTTTAAATTGCAAGAAATATGTGTAACATTTTTACCGTTTAACATACCTCCCTCTGAGTGTAAACTTCAGTACGAAACGTTGGTATCAAAGTATTTGATTATTCCTCAATGGCCACAACTAGTTTTATCAGCAGTTCCGGTTGTTGGTTTTTGTTATATTATATTATATACACGCTCATTCATTCAGAATAGCGAAATGTCTGTGTTTTGCTGAAGATCATTCTTGATGTAAAAGGTTATTTTGTAGGATTCAAGTACTGTAGAATCTGTGACATTTTTTATATATTTTTTCTCTTCTTCTTTCCCTTTAGGTGATGTAACACTAAGCCAGCCAGACATGTGTGTGTACAGGAGAGGGAGGAAGAAGAGGGTCCCTTACACCAAACTGCAACTCAAAGAACTTGAGAATGAATATGCCCTTAACAAGTTCATTAACAAGGACAAAAGACGTAGGATCTCTGCAGCCACAAACCTCTCTGAAAGACAGGTCACTATATGGTTTCAAAACAGGAGGGTGAAGGACAAGAAAATAGTCTCTAAACTAAAGGAGAATATATCTTGATCTGGCAATTCAAGTGCATTAAAAGCAACGTGCCCACATTGTTTCAAACAGACCTGAAATTACTTAGATGCCAATAATTCTCATACCCACACGTTCTAACCTTCCTTTGATGGGCTTCAAACATTTTGTCCACCGAATTCCAAATGCTTTATCTAGTTTTACATTTTTTTTATTTTTTTTGGCTTTGGACAAAGTTTAGGAGCTTTTTGCTCAGACACAGAACACACAGACTACCTGTGGTCTTATTCAATAATGTCGTGTTTTGCAGTCTTAATTATTATTAAGATTCTCCCATTTTGTGATACCATTGCCTCTCAGGAAAAAAAAAAAAACCGTCAAATCTAATTGCAACGTCATTTAACCCGAAGGACCTTGGCAAATGTCTTAACTTGGAAACACTTCAATTTGCATGTATTTAAATTCATTATATTGTGAATTACTACACACTAATTTGGACACCTCCTCACCACGCAGGTGTGGTTGTACACTACCAATTGCAGCCAAGTTGTACTGTGCATTGTGTTTTATATATATATTGTTTTGGCATAATTTTTTTTAATTTTTTTTAATCAAAGCATTGGTTGATTTTTTGTTTAATATGAACTACAATATATTGTCAATACATCTGATTTTTCTTAGTGAATACAATCTTCATCACCATACGAATTGTTACTTTTTGATCAGTGTTATAATAAAACTATTGCAATCTATTTTTATACAAAAAAAAAAAAAATACACTTCAGGTAAGAGTTACCAAGGCAAAGCTGAATCAGTTTTACGTAAAAGTGCTACATTTGGACACATCAGGACTAAACCAATTGGACATTTCTGATGATGCAACTGTTACATTTTGTTAAGATTTGCCATATTGGTATTACCAATATCAATAAAAAAGCTTAGTCTTCACAAAAATTAAAATACACAATTTAGTACACGCAGTAAAAAAAAAGTCAATAGTTTCGAATGGGAAATATTATCTTTAATCACGAAATATATTTATTGTGGGATTTGTCCTTCCACCACAATTATCAAAATCATTTCAATACTCTAGATTAGAGCTATTCAGACATTTTTCTCTTTGCTTAAAAAAAACGTTTAAAGGAATTGTTGGCGGCTTAGCCAATAGAAAAATAGAAACAGTGATTTGAGAACCCCCTTACAAAATAATGGACATGGAAAATGTTCTACTTTAAATGTTTTGGCCTACATTTTACAAGCCAGTTCTCCTTTCACCAATACTCAGTTTTTTAATTAAATACACCACCACACTCTCTTGTGATTAAGGTCTTTTGAATCACTATTCCATATGAACCAGTTTGTATTTCAAAGTCTCCACGGATCGCATTTTATGTTTGTATGTGTTTTCTATGGGATAAACAGCGGTACCTAAAAAATAGGCCCTATTCGGTAAACTTGATTTTAACCAAGGTACTATTATTTGGAAGGTACAGTTTGTGAATTTTGGAAAATATTGTATATATTTTGAAGGGATATTTTGTAAAGCACTTATGTCTTAAATTTTCAAAGCGAAGTAATGAACTTTTATAATCAAGATCTCCAAAATGGTTTCTACTATGAATAAAATCATATTATTTTATTTTTAAAAATTCCTTTAATAAAATTACTGGAGATTCTATATATTTCTCGTGTAGAGTTACCTATTGTTTGTTTCACTAAACGTTCTAAAAATTGATATTTTCACTTTTTAAAATAATTGTTGGGGCCATTTCGAAATAGTAACATTACCTTCAATGTCCGGGCAAATGCGGTAACCATTTCAGTGCCAGAATACGGTACAATAGGCTGAATAGCACTAGGCATCTATGGTAGGCATGGGCATATTTAGGAAATTAATTGGAACTTTGTAACCATTTTAACTGTTTTTTTAAAAGTATTTTATAGATTATTTAGAACTATGTTTTTCTAGCTTCTTAACTTGATACACAGTGTATGAAAACTTTATCGTGTGCAGGAATATGTGCGTAATTGTGGGTAATTTTCTAGGGATATACTATATCTACAAGACATTTCACATTTCAGTAATTAAAGAACAAAAATACAGTGGTATTTTTTAAAACATTAAATATTGTGAATCATATATTAATATAGTAGGTAAATATAGTAGGTACTTTAAAAATGAGCGTGGAACTGGGTTTAAGGTGTAGAATGTGCAACAAGTTTTGGAAAATCGAGAATTTTATTTAGGGAGACTTTTTCATTTAAATATTTTTGAAGATCCCCAACTGGTTTAGTCATGTCAGATTTTTTTTTCTAATACAGCTGTTTAGGATGGATATGCAGTCAAAAAATGGTTGAGGTGATTTGAGAATTGACTTACCAAAGTTCAAACACCTTCGGTGTTATAAAGACCTCTTTTCATCTATTTAGGCCTACAATTTGCAGGATGTTTCCCAAGTCATCAGAACATGCTGTTAACTAAATATGCCCCTTGGTGAAAAATGCAGGCAGGGTGTTAACACACCACAATTCATTCATTAATAAACAAGCTCCATTCAATAGTCTATATGGAATTAATTAACTCTCAGGCTCAATAATTAAAGCATACTCCTTACTGGGTTTTTTATTCCCTATTCGTAGTAAGAGTAAAAATAAGTGCAGTACTTATTGCTGGTAAGAATGCATACATTAATTGATAATTAATTATGCATAACTCTGTTATAATCAACTATTATGCTGAAAGACAGGCAGTATTAGCCAGTAAAATGGAACGACATAAAACAAAGGTGATTACATATACTAATTTGTGCACGCATTAAACTTCAGTATATTTGTTGGTACTTATAAAAAAAACTATATATATATACTTATATAAAACTATATATTCTTAATATACATAAAATACAATTGTCATCTAAGGGCCAACACATTTACTGCAGTTTATTGCGTGCACTATTTATATAGTGTGTGTGTGTGTGTGTGTGTGTGTGTCTATATATGTATATACTCTCAAAACAATGATTTGTCTTAATTGACAACCAATTTTACACATGTTCTATTGGGTTCATGTATTTCCCATTTTTATTCCAATGGAAATACTGGCAAAACCTGTTGCTTTGTCGTGAGGACTGGTTTGGGAGCCACTGATCTATTGTGTAATCCAAATAACTGTTCAATAGACCGGCCCAAGTTGAACTCCAACACAAAATATGGATGTACACGATTTATACAGGAAAAGCAATGTCATATTTAAAATAAAAATAAAAATCTTCTCATTTAACCTTATTTACAGTTTAGAACATTGTTTTCAAATACATTTTTCATATAACCCCTTAAGGACCAAACTTCGTGAATAAAAGGGATTCGTGACATGTCAGACATGTCATGTGTCCTTAAGGAGTTAAAAAAAAAAAAAGTGAATAGACAGTCAAGTATAATGCAGATATGCATGCGCCAGCTAGGCGTTGAAATCCCCATAAGTGGTATCATACTGCCACCTTCTGGACATTCTGAGTGTTGCAGATCTTGAGACTCCAGCATGCGTCTTCGAATATTCATCAAAGCGATTTTATCTTCAGCTTAAATGAGAGCTGTTACGAATTAGCTTTATTTTATACAAAACTTTATTCATTTCACCCAGTTACATAATTGCATTACATTGTGAATAATGTAGTCCAATGAGTCCAATAATCACATTATTTACAGAAGTACAAATAGTAAAATTACCTAAAAAATAATATTCTTAAAGAAATTACTTTATTTTAAACGTGCTCAACAGATTTCAAATATTGACTTGTGAGTGGAGGAGGCATCATCCATAATTATTTACTAATTACAGTCATCAAAATGTATGAAATTATCGTAATTAAAAAAAAAATATATATATATATATATATTCTACATAGTAATTCATACACTGCTTGTATACGTGTTAGCTTTGTTTAATTAATCCTCATATAATTTCCTACTAAAAGATTAAAACTGTTAAGATGTATACCTTAAATGACTGACATTCGATCTTATTCATAATACAGCGAGTTGACTTTTTGACTTAAAATCAGGACAAAATGAAGAGTTAACACCTCTAATTCATCAGATGTGGAGTTTTGCTTTGTTTTTGTTTTTTCATCTGAAATATTTTGTCCTATGTTTTGTTAATCAGCTCTATAATAATAAAACTCGTAGTTTAGTTAGAATATATATATATATATATATATATCATTATTTTTTTTCTATTTTTGTAAAATGGCCCACCACTATATATATATCGAGAGAAAGATATAGCTATGTAAGTGTGTTTGATATTTGTTTTTTTTTAGAGATGAGTAAACAACTGAGTACAAATAAATATGTAAATAAATGCTAAAATGCCAATACTTTAATTTTTTTAATATCTTCTTTTTTTTTTTATTTGCAAGACAGAATATGCGAAGTTTTTTCGTACAACTCGTCATCCGTGACGAGTTAAAAACCGAATTACAACGTTTAGGCCGAAATAGATTTAGATAGGAGACCACTTTTAAATTATTTTATTGTAACTGTTGCACAGTTGCATACGCTATCATTATGTTTAATTCAAATGTAATACTCTAGCTAGTATCTAAGCTATATTTTATGTGTACATATTTTATATTGTATATGTAGTTCTGAAATTATGTATATGCAGATACGTTTACCCTATGTCGAAGTAGCATTCGTTATATTCCATGAAAAAGTGCTTAATTAATAAAATAGCTTCATCAATACATAAGACTTTAAAAACACTTAAAAAAACATATATGATAAATATAATTTCATGTATTTACACCTATCATCAAGAGGAAAACAAACAAGAAAATATGACGACGTTTTTATTTTATACCTTTTAAGGGTGAAGTTTAGAATTAAGTTTAAAATAACTGACTGCTCCCTCTATCTAGTAATGGTGTGATAATTAAAAAAACAAAACAAAAAAAAAACATTTTATTTTATTTTTTAAATTGCTTTTTCGCTTGAATTAACAGAATATGTATGCCTGGTGATAACTGAGTATTATTTATTACCTGTGTACATTTAGAGACAACTAAGGGACTATAAGCAGCGACACACAGCAGAGGTATTTACAAAACAATGCACATGCATTTTCAGATTCTGTAGGATTTAAATAGTCACTGGTAGATTTAATATATTTGCAGGAATCACAATTCTACTGAAATATTTTAATTGGCTTTAGAAACCCTGTAGAAATTAGACATCTTCCCCTGATGTCACACAAAAGGAGATTCTTTCTTTGACAAATCTACATTTTTTCTGGGGTGTTTCCTTGCTATATTCTTTGGTTTCATTTTTTTCCCCCCAAACATATAAATGTGAAAGTTGTATGCCATCTCCTGGCGTGTGCATGATTTGCACCAATTTCTACATCAGACTGACAGGCTCAGACATTTTGAAATCAGCCTCTTCTCTGTAATTTCATACACTAGTGAGGGTAAAATGATGTGGATTATGTCACTGACCACAATTTTCAATGCACAAAACTGGGAGACAGTTGCAGAATATCATTGCAAACTTTGCCAGCATTCTAAAACATGTTTACTGCAGATATAATAAGAAAAGTTGTCGAAAGCAGTCTGCAGGGGGAAAGATTGTATTATTTAAATGGACACACACATTCCCACACTCCATACTTCTAATAAAACCGAATGATAATGGTGAATGGACTTTTCGTGGGAAACATCATATTATAAAAAGCTGAGTCCTATTAACATATTTGATTGTTGTGTTTTTGCTGTTTTGTTTATTATTATTTTTTTGTCTCAGCTATAGCTCACTGATGTTCTTTTCTCACATATTTGCAAACGTAAAAAAAGGAACACAAATAATATGTAGATTGTTTGGGGGGTTTTGTGTTGTTTTTTTTGTTTTATTTATTTGTTTAAATTTTTTTTTTTAGGTCTTTAATATTTGTGTGAGAAGTATTGGTGCAGACATTCAGATGTCAAATCCAAAGGGATTTCACCATAAATTCACTAAAGGAAAGGAAGCAAAAAGAAGGGGGGAAAAAAACTTTGAAGAAAGAAGAAGTGTCCATGAGACCCCATTCTTTGTTTTCATTCAATCCTCTGAGTCTAAAGGAGAACTCCAGGAATGCTCTCCACTTGAACATGACTGGCTAGCAGACATCCAGAGACCCTGCCGTTGGCCTTTGTGAGGACAATGCTCTAAATACTGGAGGGAAGGAGCAGAGAGCAGACTGAACAGTGATCAGCCAGGAGTGTTATAATTCTAATCAGCTACATATGTGTCGAACACTGGACACATTCCTGGGCCACTGCCTATTAAAGACAAAATTACACATGTATCTCATATTGAAAAATCAGAAAAGAATACATTGTATCCATCAAACAACAACATGATTAATTGTATACATTGTATCTATCAAACAACAACATGATTAATGTGTATCTGTACATATATAACTAACCGCATACATATAAACACATATAATGTGCATTGCCAGTTATTTCAAAATTAGAGTTAGTTATGTGTTAAATGTATACAATTATTATTAATCAAGTCTAGTTGATCGTCTGTCTGTCTATCTATCTATCTATCT